TGTGTCCATTTTTGCCCCAACTGTTCAGGTTTGGACCTCTGCGGGCGTATCCAGCTGCGCTCAGCGAAGCAGTTTATTCCTTATACTACCTCCACTGTATTGGGATCTACTATCAGTATGTCTTCATGATATTTTTTACAATTTGTGTAGATTGCCGTTCTGCAGCCTAGTATAGGCCTACCAGTATTGTCAACAATAAAATATTTAGTTCCGTTATTGTGTTTTTATACGAGCGCAAACAATTTTTGCAGTCGTATATTGGTATCACGTCGTCGTCGACATTGGCCTCAGCGTCGTCCGAAGACATTTGGTTTCCGGAAAATAACTTTAGTTTAAGTGTATGGATCTTTATGAAATTAAACAAAAGGTTCAATACCACAAAAGGAAGGTTGGGATTGTTTTTGGGGGTGATGGTCCCAATCGTTTAGGAATTAGGGGCCAAAAAGGGGCCAAAACAAGCATTTTTCTAGTTTCAGGACAATAACTTGTGTATAAGTATTTTGATTGCTCTGAAATTGTACCACAAGGTTCAATACCACAAGTTAAAGATTGGGATTCATTTTGGGGGTAATTGCCCAAACCGTTCAGGAATTGGGGGCCAAAAAGGGTCTAAAACAGGCATTTTTCTAGTTTTCAGACAATAACTTGTGTTTTAATGTATGGATGTCTCTTAATTTGAACCACATTTTACAAAAAGAAAATTTCTTCTTAATTAATTTTTTTTGGAAAAGGGGGAGTGGAAGGCAATTTTTATACAACCGCAAAAATTAAAAATTTTTTGGTCGTATATTGGTATGACGTTGGCGTCGTCGTCGTTGTCGTCGGCGTTGTCCGGCGTCGTCCGAAGACACATTGGTTTTCGCACTCTAACTTTAGTTTAAGTGAATGGATCTCCATGAAATTTTACCATAAGGTTCAATACCACAAAAGGAAGGTTGGGATTGATTTTGGGGGTTATGGTACCAACAGTTAAGGAATTAGGGGCCAAAAAGGGGCCAAAAATAAGCATTTTTGTAACTTCCAGACAATAACTTGTGTGTAAGTGTATGGATCTCTCTGACATTGTACCACACGGTTCCATATCACAAAGGGAAGGCTGGGATTGATTTTGAGGGTAATTGCCTCAAAATTTAGGAATTAGGGGCCAAAAAAGGGGCAAAAAACAATCATTTTTCTAGTTTCATGACAATAACTTGTGTGTTAGTGTTTGGATATTTCTGAAATTGTACTACAAGGTTCCATATCACAAAGGGAAAGCTGGAATTGAGTTTGGGGGTAATTGCCCGAAACGTTTAGGAATTGGGGGCCAAAAAGGGGCCAAAAATAAGCATTTTTTCTAGTTTCCAGACAATAACTTGTGTTCAAGTGTATGGATCTCTCTGAAATTGTACTGCAAGGTACCATACCACAAAGGGAAGGCTGGGATTGAGTTTGGGGGTGATGAATCATAATGGGTACAAAAAATGGGGGGGGGGGGGGGATTTTTTTTCTTTCTTTTTTCCTTTTTTTTTTCTTTTAAAAATTTCCATTTTAAGTTGGTTATTTCTGATTTATATTTAAAAGCAAATAATAATGATATGGTAGGAGATACACACAAACAGGATGTGTAAATTATTATATAATAAGTATTGTGCAATAGCAAGAAATTTTCAATTGCACAGTATTGCACAATAGCAAGAAATCTTCAATTGCACAGTATTGCGCAATAGCAAGAAATCTTCAATTGCACAGTATTGCGCAATAGCAAGAAATATCTAATAGCACAATATTGCGCAATAGCAAGAAATTGTCAATTGTACAGTATTGCGCAACAGCAAGAAATATTCAATTGCACAGTATTGTGCAAAAGAAGATACTTCATATAAATTGCTTATTTCTTGATCAATTTCAATGGGGTTTTATTCTTGAATTCTTGGGGTTCTTTAATATGCTGAATCTAACCGTGTATTAAGTTTTTGGATTTTGGGCCCCGTTTTTAAATTGGTCCACATTGAGGTCCAAAGGGTCCAAAATTTAACTTTGTTTGATTTCATCAAAAATTGAATTATTGGGGTTCTTTGATATGCCGAATCTAACCGTGTATTTAGATTCTTAATTTTTGGTTCCGTTTTCAAATTGGTCTACATTAAGGTCCAAAGGGTCCAAAATTAAACTTAGTTTGATTTTAACAAAAATTGAATTCTTAGGGTTCTTTGATATGCTGAATCTAAACATGTATTTAGATTTTTGATTATGGGCCCAGTTTTCAAGTTGGTCCAAATCGGGGTCCAAAATTAAACTTTGTTTGATTTCAACAAAAATTGAATATATGGGGTTCTTTGATATGCTGAATCTAACCATGTATTTAGATTTTTGATTTTTGGGCCCCGTTATCAACTTTGTCCACATTGAGGTCAAAAGGGTCCAAAATTAAACTTTGTTTGATTTCATCAAAAATTGAATTATTGGGGTTCTTTGATATGCCGAATCTAACCGTGTATTTAGATTCTTAATTTTTGGTTCCGTTTTCAAATTGGTCTACATTAAGGTCCAAAGGGTCCAAAATTAAACTTAGTTTGATTTTAACAAAAATTGAATTCTTAGGGTTCTTTGATATGCTGAATCTAAACATGTATTTTGATTTTTGATTATGGGCCCAGTTTTCAAGTTGGTCCAAATCGGGGTCCAAAATTAAACTTTGTTTGATTTCAACAAAAATTGAATATATGGGGTTCTTTGATATGCTGAATCTAACCATGTATTTAGATTTTTGATTTTTGGGCCCCATTATCAACTTTGTCCACATTGAGGTCAAAAGGGTCCAAAATTAAACTTTGTTTGATTTCATCAAAAATTGAATTCTTGGGGTTCTTTGATATGATGAATTTAACCATGTATTTAGATTTTGGATATTGGACCATAATAGGTGAATGTCCAATTTAAAATTTTAAGTTCTTAGACCACATTCATCCTGTGTCAGAAACCTATGCTGTGTCAAATATTTAATCACAATCCAAATTCAGAGCTGTATCAAGCTTGAATGTTGTGTCCATACTTGCCCCAACTGTTCAGGGTTCGACCTCTGCGGTCGTATCAAGCTGCGCCCTGCGGAGCATTTTATTTTTTCTCAAAAGAAAATTCTCTTCAAATATAATTTTTTTTGGAGGGGGGGTGAAAAACATTTTTTTTGGGGAGGGGTCAATTTTTTTTTCCTCAAGATTTAAGAAATTGTCAATTTTCCAAAGAAAAAAATTGGGGGTCACAATTTATTTTGCTAATTCTTTGTATATAGTCTGAAAACAGATTTACTAAGTATTGCGCAACAGCACAGTGTATTGCACAACAGCAAGAAATCTGCAATTGAATATAAATTCAAATCATACAACCAATTTCAAGTTCTTTGACTACATTTAGTCTGTGTCAGAAACCTATAATGTGTCAAATATTTAATTACAATCCAAATTCAGACCTGTATCAAGCTTGAATATTGTGTCCATTTTTGCCCCAACAGTTCAGGATTGGACCTCTGCGGTCGTATCCAGCTGCGCTCGGCAAAGCAGTTTATTTTTTCTCACAAAGTGCATACCAGTATTGTTAGAGGTGTAACAGGAGGGGGTCAGTGTCGACACCTCCCGGGGCGTCAAGTGGCTAGTACTTCGTCCCTATTAGATCATCAGGATACCTGATATCAGATTTTGGCTAAATAAAGATATAAAGCAAATAGAACTCAACAATTTGTTTACAAATGTACAACAATCAAGTAAAACATAGTCAAATGAAATCGAAAAGGAATAGAAATTCAAAAGTTAGGTTCAAAAAATGAAATGTAATTAAATAGTGATAGTTTCATGAGTTTGCAAACAAAATCAAAAAGAAAAGTATTTCAAGTAAAATGAAATCTAATAAGAATTGTTAAAGTTAAATTTAAAAAGTAAATACAATTGTATTTTGATATACTTCACGGTGTATTTTAGAATTTAGTAAATCGAACCAAAATAATGCCAATGTAGTTGCTGATAATTAACTCCATTAGAATCAGTGGATTCATGCGAGCTACATGTATCATAGAGAAGGGTGGCAGTGGTACACTGCTGGCTCATATATACATTTGGAGAGTGTCCCCACCGGAACAACTCCTGATAAAGTTTAAGAGAAACACTGATAACTTTTAAACATGTATTTAAAAATATGCTATTGAAGAAATATCAAATATAAATGATTCTCTTATAGTTGTGGCCTGTTATCTATTTCTTGCATGAAGAGATAATCTTTTCTCTTATGGTTGTGGCCTGTTATCTATTTCTTGAATTAATAGATATTTCTGCACGGAGTGTGATACGAAAAAGTGATACGAAAATCTGCATTAATTTGATTGGCTTATCCAGCATCACAAGACGATATTACGGCATTTCCATTGGCTGTCGTTAGGTCATTGATGACTTACAAAGGTTAAGACAATGTACATTTCGTCCATGGCAATGAACATATGTGATTTCTTCAATAATACACAAAACACTCACACATTTCACCTGACAATCTTCTTTTTGTCAAATTTTATTACATTCTGAAGCGTACAAAAAGTCTTAAAATGTCTGATGTTAAAGTTTGACAAGACATATGACGTCATACTGGAATGTGCAAAAGACTAGACCAACATTTCGCGGAATTTTTAATTTAACACATAGAGAGTGTTGACCATAAGCATGATAAGAGAAATAGGTTTAACAACTTGTGAACATTGGATATCGCTTGATATCAACTCTCGTTATTTAATTTAGATAGTAATAATAAACTCGAAAGGCTCGTTTATTATTAAATTGAAATTAAATAACTCAAGTTGATATATATCAAGCGATATCCCATTCTCACTCGTTATGAAACCTATAAGTATCACACTGCACGGAGTAAGATACGAAAACGTGATACAAATACTGCGTTAATTTGATTGGCTTATCTAGCATCATGAGATGATATCTATTATTTTTACATGATTTAAATTTGATGTTAAACTTTATTTACAGACTGTTATTGACCTGTGGCAGCTGGTATTAACGCCATGAAAACACCATTTAAAATAAGCTGAAGTTGTAATTGGAGTTTGATGAAGGATAATTTGTAGTTATTGACAGAACTAGAACCAACAGACTTACGTTTGGGTATTTAATCATACTGAATATATATTTCTGATGTATAGGTGTAAGTGTCTCTTTTAGGACCTCATCCACTACAGCGAGTCTTTTTATAAGTAATATATAATATCTTATTAGCTTTGATGACATGAGCCAATAACTAAAAACATTGCAGAATCATCTGTGTCATTCCATGTAAAAGGGGAGATAATCAAATTAATTTTCTTCAATATACAGTACAAATGTCTATGTGCCTTGTTATGGAACAAATCTGGACGTGTGTTATTTCTGGTGGTCTAACATCTTAAAGGGGAGATAATCAAATCAACTTACTTCTATATACTGTTTGTATGTTTATGTGCCTTGTCAGTGTAACAGCTGGAAAAATATTGTTTGTTAAAGGGGAGATGATCAAATTAACTTACAGCAATATACTGTCCATATGTCTGTGTTCCTGCTTAACAGATAATGGATAAATTAATTTTTACACAGTGGAGAAAAAAGAACAAATCAAAGTATTGCATCATACCTAAATCAATGCTCAAAATATTAGTCATAGAATTAAAACTCATATATATTTAAAATGTTTTCTTTTCTTTTTGCAGGATATAATGGCAAATTGGGATGAGGTAAGATTTTCTTCTGAAAAGTTCATTGGTCAATTTTGTGACCTATTTTGTTTATAAACTGTACAGAAAGGTACATGTGTGTAGTTCATTGTATTCATAGAGGGAAAATAGAAGAAAATCAAAATGACAAGAGTTATAAGAATTTCAATGGACAAAATTTGAAGGAGCAAACCTGATACATTATACAATCATCCAAAGTTTTTTTTATTCTCTCAAAAAAACTCTGAAATTACAAACACTGTCTTGGTCAGTTGTTGTTACTGCATTTGAAAAGCAAACTGTAAAAGTGAACATCATAAGCAGAATAACTAAAAGTAGTTTGTTTATTTGAATTATTACATTTATCATACATTGTTATGTGCAGGAGAGAAATGCTTAAGCTTTGTTTTACTTACAGAAACTTTGTACAGCTGCTAATGAGGGAAATATTAAAGATGTGGAATTATCTATACAAAATGGAGCTAATTTGGAATATAAAAGTGATTATGTAAGTGAAGTAGAAATATTTAAAACATATAAAGGTATTTACTTACAGAACACACAAAGTCAATCATATATAAATCACCCTTGTTTGTTCTGAGTGATTCATTGTTAAACACAGTAAATATTGGTTATTACATGTATATCTGTATTTTACATAAGAAGTAAGAAACATTGTTACACAACAACAATACACTTAACTCCTGTTTTTACACAAAATATTAGAAATTTATTAACAAAACAGCGATGTATACCACACCTATCAACCAGAGAAAATAGTGGATACAATACCAAGGAGGCAATCACTTAACTAGTATGACTAGAAGTAGATGTATACCACACCTATCAATCATAGGAAATAGTGGATAAAATACCAAGGAGGCAATCACTTAACTAGTATGACTAGAAGTAGATGTATACCACACCTATCAATCATAGGAAATAGTGGATAAAATACCAAGGAGGCAATCACTTAACTAGTATGACTAGAAGTAGATGTATACCACACCTATCAATCATAGGAAATAGTGGATACAATACCAAGGAGGCAATCACTTAACTAGTATGACTAGAAGTAGATAGATGTATACCACACCTATCAATCATAGGAAATAGTGGATAAAATACCAAGGAGGCAATCACTTAACTAGTATGACTAGAAGTAGATGTATACCACACCTATCAACCAGAGAAAATAGTGGATACAATACCAAGGAGGCAATCACTTAACTAGTATGACTAGAAGTAGATGTATACCACACCTATCAATCATAGGAAATAGTGGATAAAATACCAAGGAGGCAACCAAATTACATAAGTAGAATTAGAATAACATGGCAGAAACAAAATATTAAAAAGACAAACAACAGTTCCTAAAACACTTCACAGGACACCAAGAACAGACATGAAATATGTCATTATACTTTTATGTTATTGGGTTACTGTCTCAAAGCTTCAAAATAAGATATAGTCAAATCTCATTAGCAATTGTTGAAGTTGATTGATTGATTGATTGATTGTTGGTTGCTTAACGTCCAGTGTGTTGAAGTTAAAGGGACTGGACAAAAGTATTTGCCTTATCTGAGGTTAGAATCATCCAAGTTCGAATGTGTCATCATCAATTTAGAATGCATGAAATACAGTATGAGATTTGTGTAAACTAAATATTTTGAATAGTGTGCCTTTTTAGCTCACCTGGCCCAAAGGGCCAAGTGAGCTTTTCTCATCACTTGGCGTCCGTCGTCCGTCGTCCGTAAACTTTTACAAAAATCTTCTCCTCTGAAACTACAGCGACAAATTTTACCAAACTTGGCCACAATCATCATTAGGGTATCTAGTTTAAAAAATGTGTCCGGTGACCTGGCCAACCAACCAAGATGGCCACCATGTCTAAAAATAGAACATAGGGGTAAAATGTAGATTTTGGCTTATATCTCTGAAACCAAAGCATTGAGAGCAAATCTGACATGGGGTAAAAATGTTTATCAGGTCAAGATCTATCTGCCCTGAAATTTTCAGATGAATCGGACAACCCGTTGTTAGGTTGCTGCCCCTGAATTAGTAATTTTAAGGAAACTTTGCCATATTTGGTTATTATCTTGAATATTATTATAGATAGAGATAAACTGTAAACAGCAATAATGTTCAGCAAAGTAAGATATACAAATAAGTCAACATGACCAAAATGATCAGTTGACCCCTTAAGGAGTTATTGCCCTTTTATAGTCAATTTTTAACAATTTTTCGTAAATTTTGGTTATCTTTTGCAAAAATCTTCTCCTCTGAAACTACTAAGATGAATTTAACCAAAGTTGTAAACAATCATCATAATGGTATGTAGTTTAAAAATTATACCTGATGACCCCGCCCGCGAACCAAGATGGCCGACATGGCTAATAATAGTACATAGGGTAAAATGCAGTTTTTGGCTCGTATATCTAAACCCAAAGCATTTCGAGCAAATCTTTCAAAAACAAAATTGTGCATAAGGTTAAGATCTATCTGCCCTTAAATTTTCAGACCATTCAGGCAACCCGTTGTTGGGTTGCTGCCCCTGAATTGGTAATATTTAGAATTTTTTTCAGCTTTTGGTTATTATCTTGAATATTATTATAGATAGAGATAAACTGTAAACAGCAATAATGTACAGCAAAGTAAGACCTACAAATAAGTCAACATGACCAAAATGGTCAATTGACCCTTTAAGGAGTTATTGCCCTTTATAATCAATTTTTAACAATTTTCATAGATTTTGTAAATTTTTACAAAATAATTTCCACTGAAACTACTGGGCCAAGTTCATTATAGTAGAGATAATTGTAAGCATCAAGAATGTTCAGTAAAGTAAGATCTACAAACACATCACCATCACCAAAACACAATTTTGTCATGAATCCATCTGTGTCCTTTGTTTAATATGCACATAGACCAAGGTGAGCGACACAGGCTCTTTAGAGCCTCTAGTTTTTGACATGACAATTTGTTATTATGTATTGAAGCTCCATCTTTTTTTTATCCTTCATAATAATTGAACACACAAGTACAGATACAAAACATTCATAAACAAAATCAATAAACAAATATTTACAAAGGTCAGTCACTATAAATTATGGAATCACTTGCATAACAAAACAAAATCCCAAAAGATCACTGATGAGGGCTGTCTGCTTTGCATTCACTAATTGTAAATTTGTCATAATTGTGTTAAACCCTATAATTATTGCAATTAAAGTGGTACATATAACTACAGGGAGACAACTCTGTAAAAATCAGCTGAACGTTTTAATCGAGTTCTATTGTTAAGGTATTATAAAGTTTCTCAATGATCAAAATTAGTGTTTGTCAAACTGCTATATATCCAATGATATCTGCGGCGGCGGCGGCGTTAGCTAACTTCTTAAAAGCTTTATATTTTAGGAGCTAGAAGACCTGGATGCTTCATTCTTTGTATATAGATGCCTTATGTTACGAAGTTTCCGTCTGTCATATGTCCATTGTCCTTGACCTCATTTTCATGGTTCAGTGACTACTTGAAAAGAAAGTCAACATTTTTTGTAATGTTAATTTCTTTCTTGTTATGAGTAATAGGATAACTATAAATTTAGGATGTGCGTTCCTTGCAAGGTCCTCATGCCCGTCAGACAATTTTCATTTGACCTCGACCTCATTTCATGGATCAGTGAACAAGGTTAAGTTTTCGTGGTCAAGTCCATATATCAGATACTATAAGCAGTAGGTCTACTATATTTGGGATATGGAATGATTGTAAGTTGTACATGTCCAACTGGTAGGTGTCCTCTGACCTTGACCTCATTTTCATGGTTCAGTGGTCAAAGTTAAGCTTTTGAGTTTTGGTCTTATTTTCTAATACTATAGGCAATAGGTCAACTATATTTGGTCTATGGAAATATTTTATGATGTACATGTCAGTCTCGCAGGTTTTATTTGACCTTGACCTCATTTTCACGGTTTATTTCTCAGTGTTAAGTTTTTGTGTTTTGGTCTGTTTTTCTTCAACTATAAGCAATAGATCAATTATATGTGTTGTATGGAAGGATTGTAAGGTGTATATGTCTGTCTGGCAGGTATCATCTGACCTTGACCTCATTTTCATTGTTCATTGGTCAATGTTAAGTTTTCATGGTTAAATTTGTTTCTTAGATACTATAAGCAATAGGTCAACTATATTTAATGCATACATTGATATTAAGGTGTACATGTCTGTCTGGCATGGTTCATCTGACCTTGACCTCATTTTCATGGTCCATTGGTCAATGTTAAGTTTTCTTGGTTAAGACTGTTTCTTAGAAACTATAAGCAATATGTCAACTATGTTTGGTTTATTGAATGATTGTAAGGTGTACATGTATTTCTCGTTTGGTTTATCTGACCTTGACCTCATTTTCTTGGATCATGTTAAGTTTAACTGATACTTGTAGTAAAGCTTTATATTTAGGACTATCAACATAAAATCAAGGGTTAGTAAAGAAGGCGTGATCATACAAATTTATTTACCACTCCTGTACTGAACATGACATGGGACACCTGATCATACACCATTCATTTACCACTCCTGTACTGAACATGACATGTGACACCTGATCATGCAACATTCATTTACCACTCCTGTACTGAACATGACATGTGACACCTGATCATACACCATTCATTTACCACTCCTGTACTGAACATGACATGTGACACCTGATCATACACCATTCATTTACCATTCCTGTACTGAACATGACATGTGACACCTGATCATACACCATTCATTTACCACTCCTGTACTGAACATGACATGGGACACCTGATCATACACCATTCATTTACCACTCCTGTACTGAACATGACATGTGACACCTGATCATACACCATTCATTTACCACTCCTGTACTAAACATGACATGTGACACCTGATCATGCAACATTCATTCACAACTTCTGTACTGAACATGACATGTAACACCAGATCATACAATATGCATTTACCACCCCTGTACTGAACATGACATGTGACACCTGATCATACAACATTCATTTACCTCTTATGTACTGAACATGACATGTGACACCTGATCATACCATATTAATTTACCACTCATGTACTGAACATGACATGTGACACCTGATCATACAACATTCATTTACCACTCCTGTACTGAACATGACATGTGACACCTGATCATACAACATATATTTACCACTCCTGTACTGACCATGACGTGACACCTTACCATACAACATTCATTTACCACTTCTGTACTGAACATGACATGGGACACCTGATCATACACCATTCATTTACCACTCCTGTACTGAACATGACATGTGACACCTGATCATACAACATTCATTTACCACTCCTGTACTGAACATGACATGTGACACCTGATCATACAACATATATTTACCACTCCTGTACTGACCATGACGTGACACCTTACCATACAACATTCATTTACCACTTCTGTACTGAACATGACATGGGACACCTGATCATACACCATTCATTTACCACTCCTGTACTGAACATGACATGTGACACCTGATCATGCAACATTCATTTACCACTCCTGTACTGAACATGACATGTGACATCTGATCATACAACATTCATTTACCACTCCTGTACTGAACATGACATGTGACATCTGATCATACACCATTCATTTACCACTCCTGTACTGAACATGCCGTGTGATACCTGATCATGCAACATTCATTTACCACTCCTGTACTGAACATGACATGTGACACCTGATCATACACCATTCATTTACCACTCCTGTACTGAACATGCCGTGTGATACCTGATGATACAACATGCATTTACAACTCCTGTATTGAACATGACATGTGATACCTGATCATACAACATTCATTTACCACTCCTGTACTGAACATGACAGGTGACACCTAATCATACAACATTCATTTACCACTTCTGCACTGAGGATGACATGTGACATCTGATCTCACCACATTCATTTACCACTTCTGTACTTAACATGACGTGACACCTGATCATACAACATTCATTTACTGCTCCTGTACTGAAGATGACATGTGACATCTGATCTCACCACATTCATTTACCACTCCTGTACTGAATATGACACATGACACCTGATCATACAACATTCATTTACCACTTCTGTACTGAACATGACATGTGACATCTGATCATACAACATTCATTTACCACTTCTGTACTTAACATGACGTGACACCTGATCATACAACATTCATTCACAACTTCTGTACTGAACATGACATGTGACACCTGATCATACAACATTAATTTACCACTTCTGTACTTAACATGACATGTGACACCTGATCATACAACATTCATTCACCACTTCTGTACTGAACATGACATGTGACACCTGATCATGCAACATTCATTCACAACTTCTGTACTGAACATGACATGTGACACCTGATCATACAACATTCATTTACCTCTTATGTACTGAACATGACATGTAACACCAGATCATACAACATGCATTTACCACTTCTGTACTGAACATGACATGGGACACCTGATCATACAACATTCATTTACCACTCCTGTACTGAACATGACATGTGACACCTGATCATGCAACATTCATTCACAACTTCTGTACTGAACATGACATGTGACACCTGATCATACAACATTCATTTACCTCTTATGTACTGAACATGACATGTAACACCAGATCATACAACATGCATTTACCACTCCTGTACTGAACATGACATGTGACACCTGATCATACAACATTCATTTACCACTCCTGTACTGAACATGACATGTGACACCTGATCATACAACATTCGTTCACCACTTCTGTACTGAACATGACATGTGACACCTGATCATACAACATTCATTTACCACTCCTGTACTGAACATGACATGTGACACCTGATCATACAACATTCTTATACTCAACACACACATATGACATAACATTGACACTCTTATAATCAACATCAACATGTGACATAGCAATGACATACTTCCACCAACATGTGACATTGCAAAAATACCCTTATTCTCAACACCAAACTGACAGCAATGACACTCTTATACTCAACACCAACATGTGACATAGCAATGACAAACTTATACTCAACATTAACATGTGACATAGCAATGACACTGTCATACTCAACTCCAACATGTGACATAGCAATGACACTCTTATACTCAACACCAACATGTGACATAGCAATGACAAACTTATACTCAACATTAACATTTGACATAGCAATGACACTCTTATACTCAGTATCAACATGTGACATAGCACCAACATAGGACATACAAATAACACTCTTATTTAACACAAACATGTGACAACAATCACACACTTATACTTAACTCCAACATGTGACATAGCAACGACACACTTATACTCAACACCAACATGTACCCTAGCAATACCACTCTTATACTCAGCATCAACATGTGACATAGCAATAACATCATCATAGATACCAGGATTGAAATTTTGTATATATGCCAGACATTCTTTTTGTCTACAAAAGACTCATCAGTGACGCTCGAATCAAAAATGTTAATAAGGCCAAAACAAGTACGAAGTTGAGCAATGACACTCTTATACTCAACACCAACATGTGACATAACAATGGCACTCTTACACTTAACACCAACATGTGACATAGCAATGACACTCTTTTACTCAACACCAACATTTGACATACCAATAACACTCTTACACTCAACACCAACATGTGACATAGCAATGACACTCTTATACTCAACACCAACATGTGACATAGTATTGACACTCTTATACTCAACACCAACATGTGACATAGCACCAACATGGGACATAACAATGACACTCTTATACTCAACATCAACATGTGACATAACAATGGCACTCTTATACTCAACACCAACATGTGACATAGCAATGACACTCTTACACTCAACACCAACATGTGACATAGCAATGACACTCTTATATTCAACATCAACATATGACATATCAATGGCACTCTTACACTCAACACCAACATGTGACATAGCAATGACACTTTTATACTCAACACCAACATGTGACAGCAATGACACTCTTATACTCAACACCAACATGTGACATAGCATTGACACTCTTATACTCAACATCAACATGTGACATAGCAATGACACTCTTATACTCAACACCAACATGTGACATAGCAATGACACTCTTATACTCAACATCAACATGTGACATAACAATGGCACTCTTACACTCAACACCAACATGTGACATAGCAATGACACTCTTACACTCCTCACAAACATTTGACATCAGGCAACGCAAACAAAAAGTACAAACATGGCTTATTGAAGTCCTCGCTTATACTCAACACAAACATACACCATTGCTATATTACCACAATATGCAACAGCACATATGATACGAAGCAACTGTTATACTCCACACAAACATTTTACATGGAAATACCACTGAATTCTTTTAAAGCTTTGATCATTATTCTTAATCAACACAAAATATATACTGTTAATCAGACAGGTGTCATGGACATTAAAAACTTGTTAGAATTATATAAAGTGGGTCTAATTTTTTCTGTCTCAATAATCTGAATTAGAAAATATAACTCGTTTTTATTTTTCTTGAAATTATTTTTTCTTAACTTTGATCCTTCATCATTGTTAATCAGACAGATCTAATAAACAAAAAATAAATATTTGACAGAATTATATAAAGTGGGGTCTCATTTTTCCTGTCTCTTCGTACTGAATCAGAAAATATGACTCGTTTTAATGTTTCTTGAAAAATGTTTTTTTTTCTCACTTTGATCATTTTACTTAATTATTGTTAATCAGACAGTTTTAATGGACAACAAATATTTGTTAGAATTATATAAAGTGGGGTCTCATTTTAATTGTCTTGTCCAGCTGAGTCCATTAATATAAATATTGTTTGTGTTTCTTGAAAAAAGTTTTTTTTTTAACCTGACAGTTCTGATGGAAGTTCTGACATCTCACAAAAAAACATGTTGTTTATTTGTTGTTTATATAGAATATAAATACAAGTGTGACTGGTCATTTTATTCAGTTTAATGACCACTGATTCATGTGATATATATTTTGTTTATATTTATTACACAACATTGTCCAGTTTATGACACAAGTTTTGATGTCTGTTATATGTTGATATTACAGGAAGGAATGACACCATTAATGTTGGCTGCCTTGGGAGGACACCTGGAGGTGGTGACGTACCTGGTCACTCACGGCAGTCAGTTAGAAGTCACAGACTGGGTAATGATAGATATAATCTACTTACTCTGACAAAACTTCACTTTATACAGAATCTACACAAAATCATGTTGTTAATCAGACAGGTTTAATGGACAACAAATATTTGTTAGAATTATATAAAGTGGGGTCTCATTTTATTCGTAACACAGAACTGAATCAGATAGTAAAGGTTTTATTTTGTTTCTTGACGAAAAATTATTTTATTAACATTAAATTTTAATGAGAAGTAAAAGAGAATAAAATGCTCCGCTGGGGCGCAGCTTGATACGACCGCAGAGGTCGAACCCTGAACAGTTGGGGCAAGTATGGACACAACATTCAAGCTTGATACAGCACTGAATTTGGATTGTAATTAAATATTTGACACAGCATAGGTTTCTGACACAGAATGAAAGTGGTCTAAGAACTTAAAAATTTTCAATTTACCTATTCATACATGTGATGGACTGTGAAACTCAGATCAGGAGATTGGGAAATTTTGGTCAGGAGATTAGGACTCAGATCAGGAGGTTTTTAATCGACATTAATTTTGTTGTAAATGTAACCGTGTGCTGTAAAAATGGTCTTTTAAAGTGTGTTTTCTTCAACTTTCCAACCAATTTATTATGTTTATAGTACCCTTGTACTTATAAAGTTTCTCCATCTTTATATTCTACATGTTCAATTTAACATTGTTTTTTTCCAGTATGTTCTTTAAATTTTTTACTTCATATTCTATAAAACAATCATTGCAACCAGAACATTTGTTTAGCTGTCTGCAAATAGTTTTTATTTTTTTTTTTTCTCTTGCAAATAGTTTTTATTTGCAAACTCAGAAATTCATTCTATCTGTAAAGTTAGGATCATAGTTATTATATAAATTTCAATTTAAGCCTTAAAAGGAAGTATAGAATCCTCAAATAATTTTCAAATTATTATTTTCTTATTTGTCCTAAGACATTTAAAATCATTTAATAACCATCCTTTTATGATTATTTGTTCAATTTATATTTTATTTATATTTTTCTTTTAAAAATTTTCATTATTAAAAGGAAAGTAACTTAAAACAGGATAAATCAAGGGAAGTAACCCAATAAATACACAGTTTTTGTTACACAACGGCAGTTAGCCTGAGGTAAAAATCGTTGCTTACCAGTATGTTTGACACCCAAGCTGACAAGTGAAGCCATATAATTATGCATGTTAATTGATTTACAGGTAAAATATAACTTCAGGTAATGTCAGTTACACCAGATGCCTGAGATGTTATGTTGGGCAGAAATTTTTCATTCATGAAAAATTTCATACACGGGATTTTTTCAACGGGAGGTCGGGAGGAGACCCCTGAAAACGGGATTATTGTACTCCCGTCGGGAGGTTCACATGTATGCCTATTCAAACCATATCATTATTATTTGCTTTTATATATAAATCAGAAATAACCAATTTAAAATGGAAAATGTTAAAGAAAAAAAAGGAAAAAACCCCCCCCCCCCCCCCAATTTTTTGAACCCCCTTATGATTCATCGCCCCCAAACTCAATCCCAGCTTTCCCTTTGTGGTATGGTACCTTGCAGTACAATTTCAGAGAGATTCATACACTTGAACACAAGTTATTGTCTGGAAACTAGAAAAATGCTTGTTTTTTGGCCCCTTTTTGGCCCCAAATTCCTAAACGTTTAGGGCAATTACCCCCAAACTCAATTCCAGCTTTCCCTTTGTGATATGGAACCTTGCAGTACAATTTCATAAAGATCCATACACTTACACACAAGTTATTGTCATGAAACTAGAAAAATGCATGTTTTTTTTGCCCTTTTATGGCCCCTAATTACTAAAATTTTGAGGGAAAACCCCCAAAATCAATCCCAGCATTCCCTTTGTGATATGGAACCTTGTAGTACAATTTCATAAAGATCCATACACTTACAAACAAGTTATTGTCATGAAACTAGAAAAATGCTTGTTTTTTGCCCCTTTTTGGCCCCTAATTCCTAATATTTGGAGGAAATTACCCCAAAAATCAATCCCAGTATTCCCTTTGTGATATGGAACCTTGTAGTACAATTTCATAAAGATCCATACACTTACAAACAAGTTATTGTCATGAAACTAGAAAAATGCTTGTTTTTTGCCCCTTTTTGGCCCCTAATTCCTAAAATTTGGAGACAATTACCCCCAAAATCAATCCCAGCATTCCCTTTGTGATATGGAACCTTGTGGTACAATGTCAGAGAGATCCATACACTTACACACAAGTTATGTCTGGAAGTTACAAAAATGCTTATTTTTGGCCCCTTTTGGCCCCTAATTCCTTAACTGTTAGTACCATAACCCCCAAAACCAATCCCCACCTTCCTTTTGTGGTATTGAACCTTATGGTAAAATTTCAATGAGATCCATTCACTTAAACTAAAGTTAGAGTGCGAAAACTAATGTGTATTCGGACGACGACGACGACGACGACGACGCCAACGTCATACCAATATACGACCACAAAAATTTTTTTGCGGTCGTATAAAAACTAAATACACGGTTAGATTCAGCATATTAAAGAACCCCATGAAATCAAGAATAAAACCCCATTGAAATTGGTCAAGAAATAAGCAATTTATAGGAAGTATCTTCTTTTGCACAATCCTGTGCTATTAAATATTTCTTGCTATTGCGCAATACTGTACAATTGACAATTTTTTGCTATTGTGCAATATTGTGCTATTGGATATTTCTTGCTATTGCGCAATACTGTGCAATTGAAGATTTCTTGCTATTGCGCAATACTGTGCAATTGAAGATTTCTTGCTATTGTGCAATACTGTGCAATTGAAAATTTCTTGCTATTGCACAATACTTATTATATAATAATTTACACATCCTGTTTGGTGTGTATCTCCTACCATATCATTATTATTTGATTTTAAATATAAATCAGAAATAACCAACTTAAAATGGAAAATTTTAAAAGAAACAAAAAAGGAAAAAAAGAAAAAAAAGGGAAAAAAAATAAATCCCCCCCCAAAATTTTTTGAACCCCCATTATGATTCATCACCCCCAAACTCAATCCCAGCCTTCCCTTTGTGGTATGGTACCTTGCAGTACAATTTCAGAGAGATCCATACACTTGAACACAAGTTATTGTCTGGAAACTAGAAAAAAATGTGTTTTTTGGCCCCTTTTTGGCCCCAAATTCCTAAACGTTTAGGGCAATTACCCCCAAACTCAAACCCCAGCTTTCCCTTTGTGATATGGAACCTTGTAGTACAATTTCAGAAAGATCCATAGACTTACACACAAGTTATTGTCATGAAACTAGAAAAATGCTTGTTTTTTGCCCCTTTTTTGGCCCCTAATTCCTAAAATTTGGAGGCAATTACCCCCAAAATCAATCCCAGCATTCCTTTAGTGATATGGAACCTTGTGGTACAATGTCAGAGAGATCCATACACTAACACACAAGTTATGTCTGGAAGTTACAAAAATGCTTATTTTTGGCCCCTTTTTGGCCCTTAATTCCTTTACTGTTATTACCATAACCCCCAAAATCAATCCCAACCTTCCTTTTGTGGTATTGAACCTTGTGGTAAAATTTCATAAAGATCCATTCACTTAAACTAAAGTTAGAGTGCGAAAACCAATGTGTCTTCGGACGACGCCGGACGACGACGACGACGACGACGACGCCGGACGACGACGACGCCAACGTCATACCAATATACGACCACAAAAATTTTTTTGCGGTCGTATAAAAAGTTGTGTTAACATCTTTAGTCAGATAATGTTAATTCTACAGATCTAATGTAAAACATCTTTTAAAAATAACAAATACTTGACAGAATTATATAAAGTGGGGTCTTATTTTTCTTGTCTCTTTGTACTGAATCAGAAAATATAACTCGTTTTAATGTTTCTTGAAAAAAAATTTTTTTTTCACTTCCATCATTCTACATAATTATTGTTAATCGGACAGATTTAATGGACAACAAATATTTGTTAGAATTATATAAAGTGGGGTCTCATTTTGATTGTCTTGTCCAGCTGAGTCCATTGATATAAATATTGTTTATGTTTCTAGAAAAAAGTTTTTTTTTAACCTGACAGTTCTGATGGAAGTTCTGACATCTGACAATAAAACATGTTGTTTATTTGTTGTTTTATAATGTACAATATAAATACAAGTGTGACTGGTCATTTTATTCAGTTTTGACCACTGATTCATGTGATATATATTTTGTTTATATTTATTACACAACATTGTCCAGTTTATGACACAAGTTTTGATGTCTGTTATATGTTGATATTACAGTATGGAAGTACACCATTAATGATGGCTGCTGTGGGAGGACACCTGGCGGTGGTGACGTACCTGGTCACTCACGGCAGTCAGTTAGAAGTCACAGACAAGGTAATGATAGATATAATGACCTTACTCTGACCAAACATAAGTTTATACAGAATCTACACAAAATCATGTTGTTAATCAGACAGGTTTAATGGACAACAAATATTTGTTAGAATTATATAAAGTGGGGTCTCATTTTATTCGTAACACAGAACTGAATCAGATAGTAAAGATTTTATTTTGTTTCTTGACAAAAAATTATTTTGTAAACATCTGATTTTAATGAGAAGTTGATGAGAAAAAGTTGTGTTAACATCTTTAGTCAGATAATGTTAATTCTACAGATCTAATGTAAAACATCTTTTAAAAATAACAAATACTTGACAGAATTATATAAAGTGGGGTCTTATTTTTCTTGTCTCTTCGTACTGAATCAGAAAATATAACTCGTTTTTATGTATCTCGAAATTTTTTTTTTTTTCAAATTTGATCATTCTACTTAATCATGTTGTTAATCAGACAGATTTAATGGACAACAAATATTTGTTAGAATTATATAAAGTGGGGTCTCATTTTATTCGTAACACAATTCTGAATGAGATAGTGAAGGTTTTATTTTGTTATTTGACAAAAAAATATTTTGTAAAATCTGTTTTTAAGATTTCTTTAGTCAGAGAATATTAATCATACAGGCCCATTATTGATTATGTTTTTTTTAGATAACAAATATTTGACAGAATTATTTAAAGTGGGGTCTTATTTTTCCTGTCTCTTCGTACTGAATCAGAAAATATAACTCGTTTTAATGTATCTTGAAAAAGTTTTTTTTTTCACTTTGATCATTATTCTGAATCTACAAAAACTCATGTGGTTAAATCAAACAGCTTTAATGGACAAATACTTGTTAGACTTATATAAAGTGAGGTTTACTATTTTAACCTGTTTTGTTTTACTGGATCAGTAAATATATATTTAATTTGTATATCTTAATCTACCATTTAATAGTTTATACATAAGTATAATTATTTATTATCTTACCCGATGTTATATTTCTTACATTTAGATAAATTGTTTGTCTCCTCTCTTGATTTATTTTCACACAACATTAACATGTTTATATTTTTATATTGTTATAGTCTGGAGAAACAGCTTTACATTATGCTGCTAGGAATGGAGGGATTGATATAACAAAATTGTTAATAGATCAAGGATGCAGTCCTTGGGTGAAAACAAAAAAGGTAACATTAAGTATTTATTTTTATTCAATATCTTTATTAACAAAAAATGTATACATTTTAAATTCATATAGAGAACAAAAATTCACTTGATATTATGTGAGCCAAGTATTTAACATGGAGCAGTCTTTAGATTTACCATTAATTATACCAACCCACATACCATACTTCAAATGATGTCAACACACTGATCACCAATCAAATGTTAACACACTGACATCCAATCAAAGTAATTAACATGGTGCAGTCACTTGATTTACAAACATTAATCATACCAACCCACATACCACACTTCACATCACCAATCAAATGTTAACACACTAATCTAATCTAATTTGGGTTAATGACGACTACCCTGTAGGGTGTTGCGCCAGATTATAATATAATATAAAAATTGTTATATTTAATTTTCATATTTTCTCGTACCTTTTATGGTGTAAAAAAAATTGCCTTTAGTTGTTTGTGAGTTTTTTGTTATTCCATTAAGTCGTACTATTTATTGATTGATGAATAAAAATATCGGGAGTATTACTTTTGGTATATTTAATAATTATTTGGAATTAGTTACCAAAAATTAAGGGACAGAAAAGTAATAATTATGTTAAAAAGTTCAAGTTGATCAATTATTGATTTAAGTGAATCAGTAAAATTTATTTTCATGAAGAGTAAAATGCATAATAGAATGCATAATGCTAATAATAAAGACTTAATTGTTTTTCCCTGACATGTTCTCAGAAGTTCGCATATTTGCATTAATACAAGTACACCTTGGCTCATACGTAATTAGTGAATTCTGATTCTCTGCATGCTTTGGATTTGACTAAATTATACTTCTATTATGTATAAATATATATGTCAGTGGGAGCACGTGTGTATGCGTGTAAATATATATATATATACAAGTCTAAATTGAAAACAACGTTCAAACCTATGATTGCTTTGGATAAAAACCGCAATTTTTATACGTGTGCATGCAAAACAAATTTCTTGATAGAGGGGTCTAAATACAGCACAAACAACATACTCCAAAAGACCAAAAAAGTGAAAAAGTATATTTTAACAAAAGGCATTTGACTAACAGCTCGAACAATAGATGTTCTTAAACCCTGCTGACTGTCATTGGCGATTGCCAAATAAACGGATCACAAGATGTTACAAAATGGATCTTTTAAAATTATTAATTTGATACCAAACAGATAACAATAAACTTGTGGAAAAGATGGTATAACGCTAACAAAAGGTGCAAAAATTAGTACACCATATCCGGATTTCGACAATTAATGTCTCTTCAGTGATGTTAGGGATCGAAACGGTATTTGGAAGGCCATATAATTTACCTCAATTTAGAATAAACTCTTGAATTTTGAAGAGTCGAAATATTAGAAATAGGATGAACGGATCATATAAACACGAAATTTTTATCCAACGCAACAAATATATATAGATATACATGAGACTGATGAGGTTTGTAGATAATGTTTAGTGTTATTTTACAAAGATGTATAGACATCTATTTGAATCTGCTGATAGTTAGAATAGTATCTGTATTGTTTTAAAAATTGTGTCTGATTATTTTCATTGCATATAAAATAAAGATACATGTATGACATGTATTTTAATTGCTTATTTAGTTACCAAATATTACTGGTACTAATATTATACTGCATGTATCAGGTGTATCATATTGCTTAATTGTTCTATGATAAGTAAAGCCAATCATTATTTGTCAAATCCAAGAGTGAACTTTTAATTATAGAAGATATATAAATGCAAGGAATAATTATTGTATATTTAAATATACAATTCCCTGATACATGCAACCCAGCCTTGTAACAACTAACAAAAGCCAAAGGTAATAAATAAATAAATTAAAAAAACAAATAAATAAACTTTTATATATTGATGTTCCTTTTACACACAAAAAAAAATTATACTCTACCAACACAACAACCATATAATCACACTCCACCAACACACATTACACCAATCCTACAATACCAACACAACTACCATCTAATCACACTCCACCAACACACGTTACACCAATCCTACAATACCAACACAACTACCATCTAATCACACTCCACCAACACACGTTACACCAATCCTACAATACCAACACAACTACCATCTAATCACACTCCACCAACACACGTTACACCAATCCTACAATACCAACACAACTACCATCTAATCACACTCCACCAACACACGTTACACCAATCCTACAATACCAACACAACTACCATCTAATCACACTCCACCAACACACGTTACACCAATCCTACAATACCAACACAACTACCATCTAATCACACTCCACCAACACACGTTACACCAATCCTACAATACCAACACAACTACCATCTAATCACACTCCACCAACACACATTACACCAATCCTACAATACCAACACAACTACCATCTAATCACACTCCACCAACACACATTACACCAATCCTACAATACCAACACAACTACCATCTAATCACACTCCACCAACACACGTTACACCAATCCTACAATACCAACACAACTACCATCTAATCACACTCCACCAACACACGTTACACCAATCATACAGTACCAACACAACAACCATATAATCACACTCCACCAACACACATTACACCAATCATACAATACCAACACAACAACCATCTAATTAAACTTTACCAACACAACAACCATATAATCACACTCCACCAACACACCTTACACAAATCATAAACTTCCATCACAACAAACAACTAATAACACTCCACCTACACATCTAACACCAATCATACAATACCAACACAACTACATGTACCATATAATCATACTCAACCAACACACCTTACACTATCCTCACAACTACCATCTTATCACATTCCACCAACACACATTACACCAACCTTACACTATTAACAAAACTACCATCTTATACTCCACCAACACACCTTACACTATCATCAAAACTACCATCTAATCACATTCCACCAACACACCTTACACCAATCATACATTATTAACAAAACTACCATCTAATCACATTCCACCAACACACCTTACACCAATCATACACTATTAACATAACTACCATATAATCACATTCCACCAACACATCTTACACCAATCATACACTATTAACAGTAAAATCTCAAATATTATTCATTGATCTCTTTAGAATGATACTTCATATTTTTTGTTGATTTAGGTTCACTGGTTTTCATGTCAAGTATCTATAAATAAGGCAACATTCTGCATTATATATATAAGTAAAATTAATGCAACAATTACCTATTATTTATCGTTTTGCATTGTATAGGTAAAATTAATGGAACAATTACCTATCATTTATCGTTTTGCATTGTATAGGTAAAATTAATGCAATAATTACCTATAATTTATTGTTTTACATGTTATGTATATGTGTATGATTGATAAAAGAGTTTTGATTGTATTTCAGGGTCAGACTCCATATGATATGGTAACAATGAAAAGTTATGATTCTGAAGAGACAAAAAGGAAGAAGACAGAAATGAGGGACTTCCTAAAGGTAAATATTATGTCTTAATTGATAAGAGATATTCACAAATTGTTAGAGACACAACAGACTTGTTACAATTTTACAATAAAACAGTTGCTTTTAGTTGTCTATGTCACTGTGGCATTTGTTGTCAGTTAACAATGTAAGTTGACAATTCCAAGCTTGTTACCTAATATAGATGTTGGCATATGTGAAAGACAAATGACTGAAATCAGTTTGCTCATCTGTTGGATGTCTCTTAAATTTTGTCATCAGCTTGCTGTCTCCTTGGTATATACATCAATCATCTCCTTTTATGTATACATAATATGTATCTCTGTGTAGAAAAGTTTATTTACATGTTTATGTAAATATGTAATAAACATATATGAAAATAAAAGCACATTTTTACAAAATGTTTAGTATGCTGTCAACCTGTGTATAGATTTTAAACCTTTCAGTATGTAGTAGGTAGGCAAGGCTACCTTTTACATAGATAACACCTCTATGAAATGAGTTTACTCAGTAACGTTTACTTACCTGCACAACCTTTTTAAATAACATACAAAAACAAATAATTCACATCATTATTAAATAGGCATGTGTGGTAAATTTTACTCACGTGTGATATAGCATAGAAGAAAAAAAAAACAATTACTGTGGCTAGTAAACATGTGGTTAAGGTGTCAGACCACGAATTCACCCACTCCAATTTAGAACGTATGTAAAAGTAGCCCTTCCTTGAAAAAATATAGTGCTTTTGATGTCATTGTTTACTGAAACTAACCAACAAATTTGCAGAAATGAAACTTTTGGTGAAAGAGAAATATATTTAGACCATTTTGAGATAAAATTTACTTGTTAATGAGTTTGCATTAAAAATAGTTTAACCCTGCTACATTCTGTATGTGCCTATCCCAAGTCAGAAGCCTGTAATTCAGTGGTTGTCGTTTGTTGCTGTTTATCATATTTGTTTTTAGTTCATTATTCTGTACATAATTCAGGCCGTTAGTTTTCTTGTTTGAATTGTTTTACATTTGTCACTATGCGGTATGGGTTTTGCTCATTGTTGAAGACCGTAATGTGACCTATAGCTGTTAACTTCTATGTCATTTGGTCTAGAGTGGAGAGTTGTCTCATTTGCAATTTTACCACATCTTCTTATTTTTATGCCCCCGTCGTAGCTGAGGGTGCATTAAGTTTTTTATATGAAATATTTGCCACTTGACGTGAAGCCAAATAATCAATTGTACCATTTACATGCAGACAATACAGAATGATCTAGGATGTCACGATAAATCTAAATAGATTTGTAAAGTATATACTGTAGACATAGTTTTTTAAAATCAATTTTAATATCGGTTAACCTGTAAGTTGGTCGAAAGATTATTCAAGTAAGCGGTTAGATAAAAATGTTCTATTTGACAACGCTACTAAATAACTATTGAACATTCATTTATTGTATTCATTATCTCAAATTTGGTGAGTGTGCCAAAAAAGAGCCAACAATCCAATGAAATAAAAAAATAATTTTTCATTTTTTTCTGTGAATTTCTATGTTTTAGACTCATATAGTGTAGGGTCACACACTTTAGTATTGTAATATTATACAATACTTTGTAACCAATAAAATTATACAATACTTTGTAACCAATAAAATTATACAATACTTTGTAACCAATAAAAGCAAAGGTATCAGAGAGAGACGATTGCATGGATGTCCAAATAGCAGCAAGTCCGACCAATTATATCTGTTTATGTCACATCCATCTTTGTTAAATAATGAGACCAATGAATTTGTACTAGGAATAGAACCAATTGATTAGACCTAACACTTAATGCACATATGAAAAAATTTAAGAGGGGCCAATCATAGAATACCTGTTGAAACCTTGTGTATGGTTTAATTATGTCATATGCATGATGGCAAAAGTTAACTTAATCTTTGAGCAAAATCTTTTTTGTTGGCGTAATTGTATGAAATAAACTAGGAAGTATGTTAAGCGGTCTATATTAGAATATTAAAGAGTAGGACATAAGCCGATAATTACTTTGAATGAGCTTTTTCAAAAGTAACTACACACTATTAATTAATAAAACGTAATGTTAAAGTAATAGCTTTTTCTTTTTAATGTAGAGATATTAGTATATCAACTGTATTTTCGTGTGTGATCTGACTTATATTGTTTTCTTTTTCTTTCTCCTTTGTTATTCTATATACATGATATATTGAACATATTATGCTATAGTATAGTAAGCTTAAAAAGGTCCCGACAAGACAAAAGTTAACGATTAAAACTTAGGAGAAAACCAACGGCCTGATTTATAAACAGAACAATAAAGGAACAACATATATGACTGACAGCAAACAGTGACAACCACTGAGTTAAGGACTCCTGATATGGCACATTAATAATTTGGCAGGGTTAAACATGTTTGTGCACCCAGTTCCAATTTTCTTTCTAAGATGTAATTGTTACTGAAAAGGCAACAGAGCAGTGACAAAGATACATCTGTATTGTGTCATATACAACCAGCTTTAAAACTGTAGTTTCTGTCATATTTGTTTTTCGTAAATTGTTTTGTTATAAATTAGGTTGTTATTTTCTCAATTGAATTGTTTCACATTTTCACGTTTAAGGCCGACTATATAGTATGGTTTTTTTCTCATTGTTGAAGGCTGTACGATTGCCTATAATAGCTTACATTCACTTATTTGAACTTTGGTGGATAGCTGTCTCCTTGGCAATTATACCACATCTCCTCATTTTTATACCACCGCAAAAAAGTTTTGCGATCCTATATTGGTATGACGTTGGCGTCGTCGTAGTCGTCCTACGTTGTCGTCATCATCGTCCGAAGACACATTGGTTTTCGCACTCTAACTTTAGTTTAAGTGAATGGATCTCTATGAAATTTTACCATAAGGTTCAATACCACAAAAGAAAGGTTGGGATTGATTTTGGGGGTTATGGTACCAACAGTTAAGGAATTAGGGGCCAAAAATAAGCGTTTTTGTAACTTCCAGACATAACTTGTATGTTAGTGTATGGATCTCTCTGACATTGTACCACAAGGTTCCATATCACAAAGGGAATGCTGGGATTGATTTTGGGGGTAATTGCCACAAAATTTTAGGAATTAGGTGCCAAAAAAGGGGCAAAAAACAAGCATTTTTATATGGACAAATACTTTAGTACAAAACATAAATTAAAGCAGTGTAAGGGAGATAAATCAAATACATCATTTGAATTAGCTCCCTTATACTGCTTTTAAATTATGTATAAAGTAATGGTTAATGAACAATTAAAACAATTTAAAACAGTGTAAGGGAGGTAATCCACATACAACATTTTGATAACTTACCTTACACTGCTTTTAAATTATGTTTAAAGAAATGCATATTTATAAAGGAAGACCAGTAAAAATATCTGCAAATGTTGCATCTTTTTTTTTTTACAAAAAAATCTATATGAAAGATTTAAGGGGGGGGGGGGGGGGGGGGGGTAAAAAGAAATTGTGGGGGGGGGGTCAATTTTTTCTCATTTCAGATTTCAGAAATTAAAAAGAATTATTCTTCAAATATTATTTTTTTTTCAAATTTCAAATATTGAAAAATTTCAAGAAGTAATCTTTAATTGCACAGTATGGCGCATGGCGCATTAGACTTGTAAAATCTTTGACCACATTTATTTATTTGTTATGCCAAATCTGACCGTGTATTTAGATTTTTAATTTTGGGTCCAGTTTTCAAATTGGTCTACATTAAGGTCCAAAGGGTCTAAAATTAAACTTAGTTTGATTTTAACAAAAATGAATATATGGGGTTCTTTAATATGCTGAATCTAAACAAGTATTTAGATTTTTGATTTCGGGCCCAGTTTTCAAGTTGGTCCAAATTGGGGTCAAAAATTAAACTTTGTTTGATTTCAACAAAAATTGAATATATGGGGTTCTTTGATATTAACCATGTATTTAGATTTTTTATTTGTGGGCCCCGCTATCAAATTGGTTCATATTGAGGTCAAAAGGGTCCAAAATTAAACTTTGTTTTATTTCATAAAAAATTGAATTATTGGGGTTCTTTGATATGCCAAATCTAACCGTGTATTTAGATTTTTGATTTTGGGTCCAGTTTTCAAATTGGTCTACATTAAGGTCCAAAGGGTCCAAAATTAAACTAAGTTTGATTTGAACAAAAATTGAATATATGGGGATCTTTGATATGCTGAATCTAAACATGTGTTTAGATTTTTGATTTCGGGCCCAGTTTTCAAATTGGTCCAAATTGGGGGTCCAAAATTAAACTTTGTTTGATTTCAACAAAAATTGAATATATGGGGTTCTTTGATTTTAACCATGTATTTAGATCTTTTATTTGTGGGCCCCGCTATCAAATTGGTTCATATTGAGGTCAAAAGGGTCCAAAATTAAACTTTGTTTTATTTCATCAAAAATTGAATTATTGGGGTTCTTTGATATGCCAAATCTAACCGTGTATTTAGATTTTTAATTTTAGGTCCCATTTTTTAAATTGGTCTACTTTTGAGGTCCAAAGGGTCGAAAATTAAACTTAGTTTGATTTTAACAAAAATTGAATTCTTGGGGTTCTTTGATATGCCAAATCTAACCGTGTATTTAGATTTTTGATTTTGGGTCCAGTTTTCAAATTGGTCTACATTAAGGTCCAAAGGGTCCAAAATTAAACTTTGTTTGATTTGAACAACAAATGAATATATGGGGATCTTTGATATGCTGAATCTAAACATGTATTTAGATTTTTGATTTCGGGCCCAGTTTTCAAATTGGTCCAAATTGGGGGTCCAAAATTAAACTTTGTTTGATTTCAACAAAAATTGAATATATGGGGTTCTTTGATATTAACCATGTATTTAGATTTTTTATTTGTAGGCCCCGCTATCAAATTGGTTCATATTGAGGTCAAAAGGGTCCAAAATTAAACTTTGTTTTATTTCATCAAAAATTGAATTATTGGGGTTCTTTGATATGCCAAATCTAACTGTGTATTT